TAGTGCAGGACAAACACACTGAGTGTGCAGGAGTTGCCGATCACTCAGCAAAAGTTGTAATAACATTAAGTAAAAGAAGACCTATGTCTAACCTTAGCAAGCTATGGCTAACTAGCTTCCACCATATACAGCGGGTAAAATAAGTATTGAACACTTCACCATTTTTCTCAGTAAATATATTTCTAAAGGTGCTATTGACATGAACTTTTCACCAGATGTCGGTAACAACCCAACTCATCCATACATACAAAGAAATGCAAACAAATTAGTTCAGAAATTAAGTTATGTGTAAAAAAATGGAATGAAAAAGTATTGAACACGCTTACTGAAATTGATTTAATACTTCGTACAAAAGCCTTTGCTGGTAATGACAGCTTCAAGACGCCTCCTGTATGGAGAAACTAGTCGCATGCATTGCTCAGGTGTGGTTTTGGCCCATTCTTCCAAACAAACAGACTTCAAATCTTGAAGATTCCGTGGGCCTCTTCTATGAACTCTGATCTTTAGTTCTTTCCATAGATTTTCTTTTGGATTCAAGTCAGGTGATCATCTGGGCCATTCTAGCAGCTTTATTTTATTTCTCTGAAACCAATTGAGCACTGTTGGGGCCATAATCCGGAGTGGAAAGACCATCATTTCACCATAAACCGGCCACGACCAGGTGTTTCTCGAAAGATTTCTGACAGAGGAGTGAAAATAATTATCAGAAGAGTTGTCCAAGAGCCAAGGACCACTTGTGGAGAGCTTCAGAAAGACCTGGAATTAGCAGGTACAATTGTTTCAAAGAAAACAATAAGTAATGTACTCAACCGCCGTGGCCTGTATGCATGCTCACCATGCAAGACTCCACTGCTGAAGAAAAAGCATGTTGAAGCTCGTTTAAAGTTTTCTGCACATTTAGACAAGCCTGTGAAATACTGGGGAATATAGTCTGGTCAGATGAGACCAAGATTGAACTCTTTGGATGCCGTAATACACACCATGTTTGGAGGTCAAATGGCACTGCACATCACCCCAAAAACACCATACCAACAGTGAAGTTTGGAGGTGGGAGCATCATGGTGTGGGGCTGTTTTTCAGCATACGGCACTGGCAAACTTCATATGATTGAAGGAAGGATGAATGGAAAAATTTACCGAGACATTCTTGATAAAAATCTGCTCCCATCTACCAGGATGATGAAGATGAAACGAGGGTGGACATTTCACACAGCCAAGGAAACTCTCAACTGGTTTCAGAGAAATAAAATAAAGCTGCTAGAATGGCCCAGATGATCACCTGACTTGAATCCAATAGAAAATCTATGGAAAGAACTAAAGATCAGAGTTCAGAGAAGAGGCCCACGAAACTTTCAAGATTTGAAGTCTGTTTGTTTGGAAGAATGGGCCAAAACTACACCTGAGCAATGCATGCGACTAGTTTCTCCAAACAGGAGGCGTCTTGAAGCCGTCATTCCAGCAAAGGCTTTTGTACGAAGTATTAAATCAATTTCAGTAAGCGTGTTCAATACTTTTTCCCTGTGTCATTACATTTTTTTACACATAACTTAATTTCTGAACTAATTTGTTTGCATTTCTTTGTATGTATGGATGAGTTGGGTTGTTACCGACATCTGGTGAAAAGTTCATGTCAATAGCACCTTTAGAAATATATTTACTGAGAAAAATGGTGACGTGTTCAATACTTATTTTACCCGCTGTATGTATGTACAGTATGAGCTTCCACATTCCGAGTGGAACACAAACTTAACAGCCCAATCCCAAATGTTGTCGTAATGAGACAGACATTGCATTTCTACAGACAGATCATTGTTTCAAAAACAGAAACAAATGCTCAATAGCTGCATTATCATTATGGTTTATATATCTTTACCAGAAAGTGATGAGAATTGAAATTGACTTTAGATTTATTTTCCTCAGCTCTGTGTTTTGTTGAAAGTATCATTAAAGTCAGGGCGACCTGACCCTCCCCTGTTCTTATTAATGATCCGTATGCCCTTGAGGAACAGTTAACGTTTTCCCTCCATAAGTAATATCCCTGATTAGATGATAACAATGATGATTGTAATGGACTGTCTTCACTTCGCTAATTACTTTGTGCCATTAATATACAACAGTGAGCTCTCACAATCAGCAGCGAGAGCCAGCCAGAACCAACTAATTGGATTTGTAAAATCCATCGATGCTGATATTATTTTGCAGAGGCACAAAAGATTCGGATTCGCTTCACCAACTCAGACACATTGCTCTCAACACAAACAAGATGATGTAATGCCGAGGATTAACATAGTTATATCATGCAGCTTAATCCACACCAAGAGTAAATCAGGAAACAAATGGAAGCGGGAGCATGCAGTGGCAGTGGTAATATAGTTTCTAGTTCATTGAGCTGTAGTGGATTTCTGTGTTTAATGAATGCACCATGAACCACCAACCTCTACCTCCTCCCAGCAGGAACACCCCTCTTCTGAACACAAGTGTGCAAAAACATGATGAATGGCACCGTAGTGTATAAGTGGCATCATTTCACCACCTGCATAAGCAGAAAACAAGCTTAGCCCAGCACTTTGAAAATTAGCTTCAGTATTAGGAGGATGCCGGTCCAGCTTATGGCACTTTTGTAATTCCATTAATTGACACCAAGTGTGTGTATTTTCTCTGATGGCAGAGAGGAGGCCGTGCTTGTTGCACAATCGTGATGAATGCAAAGGGTGCAAATGGTCAAGAGGTGTTTATTTCATGGGCCCCTGCCCCACTGACAGCTTTTTCATATCTGGACATGATATAGAGCTCTGACCTGGGGACATTACACTTCTGGAGTGCAAAGATAGCTCTTCCTTTTGAAATCCAGCAGACCAGCAAATGCAGGAGCCGTGAAGCAGCTAACCCCTCTTGTCTTGTGTTTCAGTTCAGAAAGAAAAGGGCCTGTAGGTAAAGTGTCATCAAAAGCGGCACAAAAGAGTCAGAGATTACTGCGGTGCAAATAGGTCAAGCTTTCCTGACAGAAGTGGGAGTGTTAGGAATCCATATCTCATCCTTAGCCTCCTGCATACCAAGGTGATTTATTTGACATTACACGGAGCCTGCAGTACCAAAAAAAAGGAGTTCATTGAAGGGGAAAAGGGATGATTTGACTTCAAATGTTTGAGGCTTTGATGAAGATACTTCCACATTTTTGGCCTGAGCGTAGATGTCAGTCTGTCTGTTGGTCGGTGCACCACTTTGGTCCGGACTGAAATATCTCAACAACTATTATATGCGTTGTCATGAAATTTAGCACAGACATTAATGGTTCCAAGAACATGGAGCCTACTGACTTAGGTGACTCGCTGATTTTTCCTCTTTACTTTACTTAATACTTAAGTTTATGTAGAAACTAACGACATCCCCATCACACTTTGTTTTTAGTGCTAAGTAGTAAAACAATGTGAGCATGCTAACATGCTAAACTAAGCTGGTGAACATAGCTAACTTTATACTTGCTTGACATCAGCCTGTTAGCATTTTCATTTTTAAACATGTTAGCATGCTGACATTAGCATTTAGCTCAGTACAGCCACTACTTTTAGTCTTGTTACAGAAACAAAACAAAGAAAAAAAATCTAACAAATATTCCTGGAATTACAAATATATTAATGGAGGTAACCTAACTGTCTATTTTCTTTTTAATCCTCATAGTCACTAAACTATATGTGATTGTTCCCTGATCATTTAAATCACCAGCTGGTGATTGCACCATGAACATACGCTCCAGTGAAAAAACAAAACATGAAAACTTTTTTTTTTTTTTGCAACCCTTCTTCCCTCCACTCCCAGCACTCTTGTAATCAAATATCCATTTCAGCATGGAAATGAGAAATAACAAGATTAGGAAACAATTTATATGAATGGCCTCATGTTCACTCACTGTTTACGCTTTCTCGGGAAGGAGAGAAGGCTGTGGTCTCCATGGAAACTGTGGCTGGCCAATGGTGGGTGCTTCCTGCCCGACCGTATGACGTGCTGCCCGTTGAGATGGCCATTGAAGTTGGCAGTCGGAGTGTCTCCCCATAATTTTCATAGCAGAAAGAAAAAGAAAGTGGGAACCAGGAAAAGTGCATTCCCAGATAGATGATTTCTGCACATGCTGAAGATGTTTGCTTTTTGGTTTTCACTCTCGTCAGGTTTCAGTTAGTTTGTTTAGATTCCAAAATACACCCAGAGCTATATTTAAATATGTAGCTGCTGTCATAGTCACTGCTAATAACATCAACTTCAAGATGAAATTATGGTTGAAATGTTTGGCTTTATGATTTTAAAAGTGCTGTGCTTACAAAATTGTATCTGCATTAATATACCCCCCTAAAAAAAGCATAAACGTCTGTTTTTTTAAACGGATACCTCCCTGGTTTTATTGTCTGTAAAGCATTTTGTAACTGCATTTTGAAAAGTGCTACGCAAATAAAGTTTATTATCTAATGTAACAGATACAGCTGAGCCCTCAGGAAAATGTGCTGCTCCCTGTTCTGGGCGATATGAGCAGCGGCCTTGAAACTACCTGTCGACATTGATCAGTCACGCGGCGGGCTTTCTCTGAGATGGGACTTGCAGTTATTAGAGCGAAAGGCCGTTAGATGGAGAAGCCTGTCGTCCGCTGCCTCCGACGGCCTAGGTAAGCCCTGAGGAAAACTGCCCCCCCCCGGGCACATCAGCCCTCGCCATCACTCGAATTTCAAGTCAGCAGGGTGGTGTGATGTATTGGCTCACACCAGTGTGCTCTCCAGACGAAATTGTTTGGCTGTTGAGTGCCATAGCTGTGTAAATTAGGACATCAAACCATACTGTAGATGCAGTTTATTTTTTAAGGGGGCAATAAGTAAGGCTTTTACTGCTCCACGGCAAAAAATAACATCAATATCTGTGGTTTGATGGGGTGTGTTGATCAATACAAATGCTCACTGCAGATAATATCTGGCTCTCAGAAAACGGACCTGTACTGTTTTTAAAACCTTCCTGTTCACATTTTCAGACGCTGAATTTCAGACGTTTTGTTAAATGACATTTTTAGCCACACTCATTCTCAAGCTAAAAAACAGTCAAATCCTACGGCGGGGTTATTATTACTCTATTTTTCACGGTGACATATTGCCTTTTCACTCGACGTCTATATTTGATTTCAGCTCATAATTAGCTTTCCCCTCTCTGCTGTGAAAATATGACTTCATAATGTGCATCAATTACAGGCCGTAATAGCTCAAGGGTATGCAAGGGGCTGTGGGCTGTTGAAGACTGTCTTGTCTTGGAGTGGAAACCTTCTGCTGGTGTTTTTAGAAAGAGGATATGATAGAAGTTATGTATCACAAAATGCCCATTACGTATAATTATTTTCAAGATTTTTGGGGACAGATCAGTCGCCCTTCAAGAGAGCCTATTAACACTATTCAGTGCTGGAGTGCTGTATTCTGTTAGTTTCAATCATCATTGATAATAATCTTGTGATATTATCTCTGAGACGTAGTGCAACTTGCTGTCTAAATCACAATTTTCTTTTTCATTCAGATTTAGATGTTAATCTTTCAATTCTATACAGATAACAGACAAAGAAGATCTCTCAGAAATTAAGTGTATAAAACTAATTTGTTTCGGCAGTTACGTTCAGCAGGCTTTCTATAGGGAACAAAGTGTCATGTTCTTGTACATGGAGGAGGTCGGGGTGCATGATGGGTGTACTAAATGCAGGACTTTGACACAAGTGACTGGAGTTTGCATCCTGAAACCTGGGGTGTGGTACGATTTTGGCAACAGAAGCTTGTTTGGGTTTAAGATGAGGGAAAGATTGTGGTGTAGCGTAATCATGCTGTAGCTGCTGAGAGTGGATTTCGTATTGCAAAATCAAATTTTGTTGAAAAACATAATACGCTGCCAGTGAACATTTTGCTGATGGTTGCAGTAATGTACAATAATTAATAGCATTTCCATTCTGTGGTGATTACAAATGTAATCCAGGCGGTATTAACGTTTCTTTCTAAATGTGTTTGCATTTACAGACCAGTAGTCTGTCAACGTAGCATTTATCAGAGGTACATTTACTGCTGTCCAGTAGTTTGTTGAGCAAAGCAAACACAATGTACTTTATATGCAAGTTAAATACAATGGATCCTAGTCTGATCAGGAAACCTACATTTCACTACCACTGTAAATATCAATGAGCCATTAAATGCATTTAAATATATGTGTATTAACGATACTATTTCACCAATTTAGAAATGTTCCTTTTGCCTGAAAAACATCCTCTCAGTCACAATTTGCATAAGTCTTTTGCATTGAATTCAGGGCACTAAAGAGGTCATTTTTGGACTTTGATATTTCATGTTTGCACTGACAAAACTGAATTAGAGACCTGCTTTTTTCCCCCCTGTGTTTTCTTTGCTCATCTGTCAATATACGTAAGTCAAGGTATTCAGAGGTATTCGAAATATTTCTGAATGGCTCTGTAGAAAGGCGGCACCCAGCAGTCGCTGCCTGCTCACTCTTACGCTTTGTCAGTATTTCTCTAAACCTCTATTCACACTACCCATCCAGCCGCCGTCTTTAGAAATTCCCCCTTGTCCTATAGACCCACACAGCAGGTAATATCTCTCTGGGGCTGCCAACGCCGATGTCTTTCACACCAACAGCCCCATCAGACGACATCAGAAAGCAGCCCAGGGTGTGTTCATCCATTTGCCCTCCACTGTGGTCCTGCCCCATCAGGACTCCGGTGCCCCCCTAAGACTTGGGAACCCATTTAATCAATGGCAGAGATTACAGTAGTCACGACCAGCTGGCGCCTGTTTGACACCATCGTCTTTGGTGTCCATGCAGGGGCCTGTTACACTGCAGCAACCCCCCCCCCCCCCCCGCTACGAGGGGGCAAAGACCACCAATGGGCCGCACTCAAACACACAGCGCCTTATGATTGACGGCTTGATTGTTGTTGCGTGGTTTACTCTCACAAAGCCGCCTTACAGTGCATTGTAAAAGCAAAGTCGTGAACTTGTGTTTACCCTCTCATGGTGATTTGTATGTGCTTCTGCAGGTTGAAATATTTGCGACGAGTTTGTGTTTTCCTGCTTCTCACAGCGACACCATCAAGGTTTTGTACACATCCAATTTGTAATTAGAGTCTGCCTCCACTTCTGTCGTTTTGATATTTTCTCTGGCTGGCACCCTGTTGATACTTCCCAGCATGCACGAAATAACATTCTGAAAGAGACATCTTTATATCTCATGTGTAATTTTTCCAGCAGCAGAGAGTCTTAAAATATTCACGGTCATATTGGGTAAACCTTGGGTTTCAAGGTTGCCAAGGAAGTGTTGATAGAATTTGTTTCCCTCAGCAGCTGCTCTCCTGAACCCGGAGCTCTATACAACATCTCTGCTGGACACCATCACTGTGAGTTTGTGAGTGGCTTGTTTATGTTCATGCAGAAAAAAATAAATAAATCACACTTATTCCTTTTTAGTGAAATCCTGATGAGAACCATTGATTGAGGCTGATAGGGGATCTGTTGATATTGTAAAAAACAAAGTTTACTTTATTGCTGTAAGTTTACTATTTAAAGGAATACTACACAAAATGACCGATTTTATATCAATTACTCACCGTGTGTCATCTTGAATTCTTGAAGGAAACTTTGCTTTTTCTCTCATGCCTTCCCGGAGAACTGAGCATCTGAAAACAGAGTAAATCCTCGATGAGGTAAAGTAAATGGGGTTCCAGGTTTAACAACAGCAAAAATATATAAAAACATCAGCAGTATAATCCAAGTCTCCTTTAACCAGCCTTATGCTCACTGCTTCCTAATCACACGTATCTTCACCAACATGACACGATTTAAAACACTTCCGTCTCACGCATGCGCTGCAGGTCCAGTTGAGTCCGGACGTGTAGTGCGCCAAACATGTTCTAAACTAACTTTGATTGATCAAGACTTTTCTCCATTTTTTGATTCTTCGTTCACTGTGGAGGTATGTTAGAAAAACTAATTTTCTTCAAGGATTCAAGGCAACAGATGGTGAATGATTGCTATACATATGGTCATTTTGTATGTGAAGTAGGTTTAAGTAATCCTGTAGTTAAAGTTTGGGACTGAAATTGTCTTGAGCTTGGTTTTGTCTACTTTTAATATACTTTAATAGAAATACTTACGATTTACTTTAATCAATATTTTTATGTTCTCAATGGATCAAATGACTGTGTATTGTGAAAGGTGTCAGTCATCACCTGCACCTTGAGCTCTACAGAGCCGTTCTGGTTCACGCTCACACAGTTGTCACCAGCGTTGTTTTCAGCCACAGCCGGGAGGTATGTTCACCAAAGAAGCTCGAAAAATAACATCTTTACGCCGTCTGCTCAGCAACAAACAGAAAACACGGACAGATTTAGCGAGGCTAAAGAGGCAGACATTTCCCTCAGCAGCAGGCGGAGACCAACGCATAGTTACAATGAGAGTGAATGTTGGACCAAGGGCCAGAAACACAACTGCTGCTGTGGTTTACTGAACTGTATTTGGACCAAAAAGTACTTATTCTAACTTTAATAGCTTTTGTTGATCAGTAAAATTCTTTTGAATAAAACTAAGAATGTCATAATCAGTTTTTTTCAGATTGTTAGTTTCATATACTGAACGACCTAAAATGACCTTGGACGACTCATCTAACGAACTCTCCAGAGGGAGTTTTCTGGTCGAGGAAACAAGCAGCGGGGTGAAAGAGTGCCTTGTCTAAGCAGTCAGGTATGAGCCGGTCGGTTTCATGAATGTGCATGTTATATCCTCAGCCAAGTGAAGGTACAATCCGCGCGCTGTTACCGGGGAGTTTGCTTTGGCGCTGAGGTTGCAGAGGAGTGACCGACTCAAAGGAATCATACAGATCACGTTGGCTGCTGTACCGGCTCTTCACTCTGCTGCTTTCACCCCCAAACATGATGATAAAGAGCAGCAACTCCGGCGATGCTTTGAATTTTTATGGGACGTTTTTTTTTTTCTTTGGCAGAGGAACAGAAGGCACAAGAGAGGGTTGTTTGGTGGAGCTGGTTCAGTTTGCTCTGCGATTCCTGGCATGATGTCAGTTATTTTGTTTTATTTGAGTTATGCTGAGTAGACCTTGTATGTTTGGTGTGTACGGCAGGTGACCCATCATCGTAGATGAAGATTGACAGCAACACGTTAACAGATTCATGACCTCTACACAAAACCCAGGCTGCTGTGCCTCTTTGCCCACATATATACAGTATGTATCTATTCTGTCTTGCTTGTCAATGGAAAAACAACAAACTTTGGGATTGTTTTTTTGTCATAAAGTCGTGACTAGATGAACCTGCGAGGGAGCTAAAAATGAGCTGCTTTCCTCCTGTTCTCTAAGATTCGCTGTGTGATAATTTGATTAAACGCATACACTTAAGAATATGCACCAAAGGGTAAACAGTTATAAAGGCTTTGAGACTAGACTCGACATTCTACAGACATGGTGCATATTCCCAAACTATTTTTTTATATAAACTAACACAATTCAGTCACACAATCATAGTAAGTCAAAAGGTTTTTGTTGTGGCCCACTTTGCCGGCTTGGCAATCCATTTGAGTGTGTAGTTTTCCAGCAGTAATACTATATATTACATTGGCTTATCTGTGAAGCAATACAATATAATCTTCAAAAGTGCAGAATATACTTTTTAAGTATATAAAATATGTTGTCTGTTTTAGCTCCACAACACCTCATTTCTGCAAGATTTCATACTCCAAATTTTAAACATTTCACTGTCTTGGGAAATTCGAGATTTCCTGAAAAACAACATTCTAGTTTACCACAACTTAGTCGTTAGTTTTGGCCATCATTTTAATCAGTAATAACAACATTTTATTCAATTGTACAAAGTTACATGCTGAGATCTGGGAACATCGCCTTTGTTCACGTATCACAATGGAAGCAGAATCAGAAAACACGAGCATCAAAACTGTTATGAACATCCATAATAGTTTACAGACCAACATCTTGGTTCAACTTTGACCATATTTACTGTAGTTTTCTAGTGATATGAGGGAATATTACTGACATTTTTGGTGCACTATATCCAAGATTCGGAGCATTCCTTCTGCATCTAAACGCCTCTCATTGTGGCGACGGCTCACATCTAACCGTGCTAACAGTGCTAACAACAAGCACTGGTAGAACTACTGTTCACCTGACGTGTTACATGATGACGTCATAGGTCTGGACGCCGTTATCGGCTGTAAACTTCGGATGAGAGCGGTGGCCGTGAGCTAACCAGTGGGGCACACTCACATGCACCCAAAGGCCCGTATGGCCGGCCGACTATGTCAACAAAGCAAGCAGAAGCTCAGATAACAACACACAGAGAGAGTGACTTCATTCTCTGCTCAGGTAGACATTACTCCACTCTATCTTTACATAGAAAACAGATGTTTGCTGCTATATCAATGCTCTGAATGCTGCTTTAAGAACGGAATTTAGTGATTTAGATGATCTGGCTTAAATTACATCTCAGATCATCAGACGTCCAACTTCCTGGCAAAGATGTCATTGAGTTTTCAGATTGCTGCATTTAATTACACGGATACAAAAATATAAATAAAAAACAAGACCTGACTTTTAATGAACCAGACGAAGCCTTTGCTATATCTGATCTTTACAGACGACAGTAATCTTCTAAATTGGCGAAAATCCCAGTTTGGTATTAAAATGTATAGAATTGTACATAAATGTAACTATTTGACCGTCACATTGTGTTCCGTCTTTGTGCCCCGACACATAAATCATCACTACCAGAGGAACTGGACACTGCAGACCCCTGTGTACATGAACTAAGAAACTGTAGTTACTATCATCAATATTTCATCGAGAAAATTGCTTTCAGTCATAAATACATCATGTAAACAGGGGCGACTGGAACCGAGCCAGACCTCCTGTAACAGAGCAACACGATATGCATCACCTCGTAAAAGCCACCAATTAACCGGGCCCTCGTATATCAGTTCCTGGTCACTTACAAAGTCATTGCCTTCCTTCCTGCCCTCATTATCATCACATACAGTAGGCACCCACAAGAGTTCACTTCACAGTAGTCGAGGGGAAGGGGATGTATTGTTTTTTTTGGTTTCTTTTTTTATCAGTGAGGGGTTTCCTCCTGTGTTCTCCAGGGGCCCCAGGGGCGGAGAATGGGGCTGTAGCTTTCCACATGTCCCAGTGTGACATCTCCATTGTGCTGGGAGAAAACGCTCATGCGGTGCGAAGCAGACGGCATTCTGAAGTGTATGAATTTTGACAGCGAGACATATATCAAAAGCGCCTACTCTGCATATCACAACGTCCAACCCACCAGGTTCACTGGTTAGAAACAATGAGGCGGAAAGTAACAGGCTCCTCTAGGAGTGTTTGTGATTTTCACTGACTTATGGGGTCAGACAGTATTTGTGTCAAAGGTTATTGAGGCCTTGTGTTTTTCATATTACGGCTTGGATGCTCTTCAGTGTTTTTATAAAATCGCACAAACACAAGAACTGTACTAAGGTGAAGAACCCTAAACTATAATAAATATCTCATCATATTGTATTTGCATATAAATGCACGACTGATTTGACCTCGTATAGCCATGCATTTCCTATTTAATGCTTTTCTTAACTGAATTATTAGGTGGAATATGGACTCATGGACACTTTCTCGAATTACATGGCCAAGTGATGAAACATCAAAAAAGCTGCTGGAAAATAAATGCATTTTTTTAGTTTTTTTTCCTTTAACCAAGCTGGCAGCGTGACTGTAAGAACTGTCATCTCAGTCTGTTACTTCACCACATTGGTCCAAACTAATGGATTTAATGACCTGACATTCAATTTTGTGCAGACATTGAATGTTCTCAGAGGATGAATCCTAATAGCTTTGGTGATCCCCTGATTTTTTTATGTTGTGCCACCAGCAGTGGACTGATAGTCCCATCATGTTCATCTGAATTTTGTGTTCAGTGCCAATTATCAAATGTTAACATGCTACCACACATGGTAAACATACTAAACAGCATGTTGGCATTGGAATTGTGACCATGTTAGCAATCAAAAGCACGGCTGTCTCTTAAGTACAGCCCCGCAGAACCGCTAGCATGTCTTTAAACTCTCTGTCTTGATTCCTCCTATATTGAAATATGTTTGATATTTAGCATTACAGGCAGAGCAGCATTAAACACTTTAAATCATGCGCACAATCTGACAGAAGTCTCCTTTACCTGTTATGGAAATATGGGGCAGAAAACATCTCCCACGTACGCTTTGCCAAGAAGCACACGCAACATCTCGTTGAAACACATTGAAAATCTGGCTCGCAGAGTGGTGTTCTGCTGAAACAGTGGTGCGGTGGCAAACAGGAAAGTGAAGCAAACAGTGCTGCTGTGTTTTTATAGCCTATATCGCCACACAGCAAATCGTGCTTTGCGCCATATCGGCCCCCTACATTATTTACACCTCGTTTTTATTGGAGCAATCTTGACATGTGTGCAGGGTGATTGATGGGGGGGGGGCTTTTTCTTTTTTATATTCGCCTGTCGGGTAGCTAAAGTGGGCCATGGGCTTGGGTCTTTCAAAAAAAAAATGTAAAAAAAAAAATGAGGTTTTTACTGCCTTTGTTTAGATTTTTGTTAACAGGAAGGTTTTAGGATTGGAGATGTGTACAATTAGAGATTCAAGCAGAGTGTTTGGGGGGGAATGAGTTTGTTTCAACACCCAGAGGAGCTAGTGTTTGATGTCACAGAGGAAAAGACCAAATGTAAATATAACTCTCAAATGGGTGACCCGAGAGTCAACACGGATCCAATTATTTCTTAATTTTAATCACATACAAACTAAAACCCGAAGCTGTTATTCATCCACAACCACAGTATCTAATTTGCAGACGGGGTAAAAGGTTATTTCAACAATTCTGATGTGACAAATACAGGGAATTAACAGATATTTCTTTCATGGAAAAACATCTACAACTGCACATTGACACAATCATGATTCAGGCACCATGCTGCTCAGATCAAGAGGTGATATGCACTACTCAGTATGCAGTGCTGGGTTTTTGTTACCATCATGATTGACACGGCCATACAGTACAAATGTAGAGTGGAATTCTGAAAAGCTCACCTCAATAATGCATATTTATATTAGCTGCGGTTGAAATGCTATCCAAATAGATCTGACCTTGCCTCAGCTGGGGAGCAAAACTAAATTATAAGTAACCTATACAGACTTCCCTTGGCAAATAAGGGGGAATAATACATACTATGAAGCGCTGAA